GATTTTAAATGATTTGAATTATTTTTTCTGGTTAGCGTTTTTGTAGCGAGTTAGTTTTCTACGGGATTGGGTCGCTAACACCATGTCAAACCCTCCTCCTTTACTCGAACGTGGGACCGACAGTAGGCCAAATGGGCTCTAGGTGAAGTTACTCTGAAGAAGTGGCTCACACTAAATCACGAAATGTCAAAAATACAATTTTTCTGCCTATCGAGATATAACAAAAAATATGTTGATTATTGACTCTCTATCTATCCAATGCTCAATTTATTTGAAAATATCAAGTCCAACTTTGGGATTGATACCTATAATTTCATTCATTCATTCTACTCAGCATTTCTTCTTTAACTATTTATACACTATAAGCAAAGATGGATGTTGGTTAGCAGTAGAATCTAGGACGTCCTATTTGTGACTCGTCAGCTGTATGTACCAGATGAATTTAAACTTGACCCGATTGCACAAGAAAGTGGCTATCAGGATTCAGTATGTAAGTGAATATCGCAACGGCTTTTGAAGCGAACGATACTGTGTTCGATTTCCGGAGTGAACACCAACTCTGAGATACAAGTACATCCAGTTGACGGGTCACAAATAGGATGAAACCTTCGTCCTGGATTACAGTGCAAGGCACTATCCATCTTTGCTTATAATGCTTGTGACTGAAGGCAATATCAAGATAATACACACAGTATGCATATATGCCAATAAGAGACTGATCAATTACAGTCCTAAACAACAATGGGAAGATTCAAGTAAACAATATCGATTGAATTTTTTTTATGTATTTTATCTTTGTTTATCACAGAATGAGATCAGTTTGAAATAGAGAGTTATTACAAATCAGAATGAATTCAATAACTTCCTATTAATATGAGTTCTCTATTTTGTTTACTGTTTATCATTTTGTTTAATTTAGAAAGATATACGTTTCATTTTTGAGATAACATCTAAACTAGATATTTTGTTAGATTTAACGTCGACCGTTTGATTTTAGCTAAAAATTTATTGAAAACTATACAGTGTTGGTTAGTAGCTATGATAGATAATGTAATAATGCTGATTAGAGTTAAATAAATAAATTAATGGATACCAAATTAGACAATAATCTAAACTTTAGGTTCTTACGTTCGATCCCAGCAAAAGACTACGTGCTCACACTCCTAATGAGTCGTAGTGACAGGTACTATGTCAAACCCACATAAGTTATTCTGAATGCTGGACAGATCGACCATCTCCACTGAACCCACCCAACATTGAAGCAGCACCCACGGACCTCCCAATCAACGTTGGCCCACCAACAATTGAAGAAATTTGCATGGCCATCAGACAAATCAAGAGTGGCAAAGCAGCAGGACCGGACAACATTCCAGCAGAGGCACTAAAAGCAGACGTAGCGGCAACTGCAAGGATACTCCACATTCTCTTTAATAAGATTTGGGATGAGGAACAAGTACCAAAAGACTGGAAAGAAGGACTTCTGATCAAAATACCGAAGAAAGCCGATCTCAGCAACTGTGATAACTACAGAGGCATCACTCTTCTCTCAATACCGGGAAAAGTCTTCAACAGAGTATTGTTAAACAGGACGAAGGACTGCATAGACGCTCAACTTCGTGACCAACAGGCAGGATTCCGTAACGATAGATTGTGTACAGACCAAATCGCAACTCTACGGATCATTGTGGAACAATCAATTGAATGGAATTCATTACTCTACATCAACTTCATTGACTACGAAAAGGCATTTGATAGCGTGGACAGGACAACACTATGGAAGCTTCTTCGACACTACGGCGTGCCTCAAAAGATAGTCAATATCATACAGAGTTCATATGATGGATTACACTGCAAAATCGTGCATGGAGGACAAAGTCGTTCGAAGTGAAGACCGGTGTTAGGCAAGGTTGCTTACTCTCACCCTTTCTCTTTCTCCTGGTGATCGACTGGATCATGAAGACGTCAACATCTGAAGGGAAGCACGGGATACAATGGACATCTAGGATGCATTTGGACGATCTGGACTTCGCAGATGATCTGGCCCTTCTATCCCAAACGCAACAACAAATGCAGGAGAAGACGAACAGTGTAGCAGCAGCCTCAGCAGCAGTAGGTCTCAATATACACAAAGGGAAGAGCAAGGTTCTCCGATACAACACAGCATGCACCGATCCAATCACACTTGACGGAAACGATTTGGAAGATATAAAAACCTTTACATATTTGGGCAGCATCATTGATGAACATGGTGGATCTGATGCAGATGTGAAGGCGCGGATCGGCAAAGCAAGAGCAGCATATTTACAACTGAGGAACATCTGGAACTCAAAGCAACTGTCAACCAACACCAAGGTCAGGATTTTCAATACAAATGTCAAGACAGTTCTACTGTATGGGGCGGAAACCTGGAGAACTACGAAAGCCATCATCCAGAAGATACAGGTGTTTATTAACAGTTGTCTACGCAAAATACTTCAGATCCGTTGGCCTGACACTATTAGCAACAACGTACTGTGAGAGAGAACAAACCAGATCCCATCGGAGGAAGAAATCAGAAAGAAGCGCTGGAAGTGGATAGGACACACATTGAGGAAAGCACCCACCTGCGTCACAATGCAAGCCCTCACATGGAATCCTCAAGGCCGGAGGGGAAGAGGAAGACCAAAGAACACATTAAGCCGAGAAATGGAAATAGACATGAAAAAGATGAACAAGAATTGGATGGAATTAGAAAAGGAGGCCCAGGACAGAGTGGGTTGGAGAATGCTGGTCGTCGGCCTATGCTCCATTGGGAGTAACAGGCATAAGTAAGTAAGTAAGTAAGGACAGATCAATTTACTCATTCTAATCAAGGCACATTTGGACTTTTTTCACTTAATCGCTTATTAGCCCTGACTGTTTTTATATGATCGTATGTGTATTATTTGCTTACCCTATTCATCACGTGCCTGCAATTTATTTTTGTCTGAGTATAAATGTTGAATGACGCTTAATGAAAATGAGTTGGCCTACTCACCTTCTCCTTTTCACCTCAATTTGTTTCGTTTTGCTTAGTTTCGTTCCACTTCGTTTCTCTGATTGTCTGTCTGGATCACTGAGTATATGAAATATACATATTCAAAATTCGTTTTCGAATCTGGCTTATCTCACTCCGTTTTTCATTAATGCGGCTTAAGTCGATAAAAATATACAAGGGTTGGTGACATGTGTATTTCGACAACATCATCGTCCTATCTAACTGAAGTTAGATAAACGGCCACTAAAGGGTTTTATACTAGGACAGTATCATTATTTAGTATCCTCTGATTTTCAATAGTTTTCCAGTATAAATCCAGTGGTTTTAAATTTTCTGAAGGTTAGGGTTTACTGAACCACTTATTGAGTGGTTGTCGGAGTCTGTATCACATACGTAACCTTTATTTGATATATATATATATATATATATATATATATATATATATATATATATATATATATATATATATATATATATATATTAGGAACTATTCACTATGACCAGATGTAACTGTTGGCTAATACATAACATTCTCAAAATCAGTTAATTTATCTGTACATGGATAAGCTAAAGTGCCGTAGAATTGAATGATTTTTTATCATGGTAAAACTTGTCGTATTGAATACTATCAGAGCGGGGACTTTTCGGAGATCGTAATCATTTTAACATTGAAATACATGAGTCGATCCGGGTTAGACCATTATTGAAAATGTGGAAGCACTGGATGGTCATTTCATCCTAGTATGAAACTTCCTAACAGTTCGCATCCACGATCCTGCATGCGCGACTAGAACCCATAAACTTCGACACATGAATTCAACTGTTAATATTGAATATCAATTGATAATGATTAGAAGTGAAGATATTTAAGAGAAGAAATTATTAATCATCTCATCATTGTTCTTAATTCTGAACCGTATCATTCAATATCTTGGGATAATTAGAAGTATTTGAATTATAGTACAAACTAAGAATCCCCAAAAAATAACGTAATCTAACCAAGAAGTATTATATGAGCACGAACAAATGTATTGTATTTGGAATTCGAAATCAATCAGTCATGAAGTACAAAGGAATCATTAATTCATACAGACACCACATCTACCATAGCTTAGATGAGAATCCAAATTTATGTAATCAACTGTACCTCTTCTTCCTAATGTTCAACGTGTCTTTCTGATCGTGAATTGGATGTAGACTCTATATGATCTAGAATATGCTCATCAGTATTAAAATTAACAACTAAAATTGGAATGAACTTAACTGGGTCCTGGAATTGTATACAATCACTATGTCGCTTGTATACTGAAATCACTAATATCTAGAATTTGAACCATAGATTTTCCAACACTTTTCTTCCCCACGAAATAATGTTCAATCTTCATATCCTCAAGATATGAATAATATGACTTCATATTTTTTACACTGACTAGATCATTCATCAGAATTAATTTCATAATAAGTAGAAACAACAATTAGATATGAAATCATCAGAATTCTAATCAATATCGAGTACATTTATCACTTGCGTAGTGAACGATTGCAGACTACATCAATAAAATCTGGATACCATATAATAAATCGTCAATTTGCAAAATATTCATGCATCAAATCAAACTGGACTGTTTCTGTTGCAAACACCAATGCACTGTCTCTCATTCCATTGTTCATGCGTTTTCTTACAAATTTCATTCGTGCTTTTGCTCTTTTTTTCTTGATTTTCCCCTCATCTTCTGCTACCAGACATTACGTTTTAACTCGCATCATATACTACTCATATCAATATAAGTAGCTCATACCGCACTTGTACTTTCCATGGAACAACGTTCCACACATAAGAAACAAATGCATTATGTGAGGAAGTGATAATATATGATCTGATATCAATGATTTGATTCTTCTGAAATAGAGCTTATATTTAATTGATTAACCTTAAATTAATCTATCATTCCTTTTTTTTGTTTGTTTGTTTGCTTGTTTCCAGTTAACATGTTTAGATAATGGATATAATAGAAATATGGAACAATTACAAATATCGATTAATGAAAATATACCAAGATTATTAACTGATGATGTTCAAAAAATATTGGATAATTTAAAACGTACTATTGATTTATCTGAACCAGATCCAATTTTATCAAAATATGCAAATGAAGCTAATGAATTAACTAAAGAGTAATTAGAATAAAATTAATTATTATTTATAATTAGATTGTAGTAATTTGATAATTGAATTCATAAGTTAATTGAAACTAGATCACCATGGAATACCTGGAAGCACTGGACAGCCGGTCGTTTCGTTCTATTGTGAGGCTCCTCAGTAGTAGACATCCACGACCACACCTGGTGAGGTTCAAACCCAGGATCTATCAGTCTTGCACGCTAGCACTTAACCACTAGACTACAGAGCTGATCGGCAACCAACGGTGTTAATGTCTAACTTCAACCAATCCACTGCTTCCAGGTTTTTCAAGGTCGTCTCGCTTCAATCGACTCATAATCTCAACTATTGAAATTACTATAATATCCACAAAAAACCATTCTCATATTATTTATTAGTCATTTATTATTACTGACCATTATAAAGATGAATATTTCACAAAATTTCAATGGAAAGCCATTAAATATAGAGTACACTAAATTGAAATTATACAGTGACTAACTAACGATATTAGACAATATACTGGGCTATATTACATAATAACTAAATTTCTAAAATGTAAATTATTGAAATCTTCATGATTTCAGTTTAACATGAGTGTGTATTTCTGAATCAATGAAATTAAATGAAATAGCTAATCACTTTTCCATGACTTATATTAACTTGTTCCATAATGAAAGTATTTATTAAATGTAGATCAATTGTAGTGTCAGTTACTGTGTTAACCAATATATACCTTATTCTAGCTTTCGGACAAGTCAGTCTATTCATTCTACTTGAGTCACATTTTGACACTGTTAATTAATTATTCACTTATCAATCTTGACTGTTTTTATATGAACGCATATGAGTGCGCCTTTCTTATCTCATTCATCACACGTCTGTAACTTATTTTTGTGTGACTATAATTCTCGATTAACACTTGATTAAATAAAGTTGGCTTACACTCCTCTTCCACCACGCGTTGTTTTGCTTCACTTCGCTTCATTCCTCTGATTGTCTGTTTAAGTCAATAAGTGTACAAAATATACTGATTTAAAAATCCATTCTCGTATATGACTTATTTAATTCTGTTATTGACCAACGCAGATTAAGTCGATTATTACACACGAAGATTGATGACATGTGTACCCTAATAGCAATCAAAAACAATCAAAATGAAGTCAGATCCCGGTCCATCAAATACATTTTGATGAATTTAACTATACAGAAATAAAGAGAAATGAATATAAGTACTTCGAATTTGATCGTACATAATCTAATTTACTTTTTGTACCATAACCTTTTGATTAATAACACTCAAATTTATTTCAGTTATAAATATCTCAATTTCTAAGTATTTTACCTAAAAAACTATGTAATTTCGAATGTGGACTCATTCTTGGGCTATAGATTGTTCTGCAAAATATTTCAATCCTAATATTATTCTCAATAGGTTACCTAATGATTTAATGTATTACTGAATATTCTAGATTTTCATGGAGTACTAGGTTAACATATCATAGAGTAATAATAATAATAGTAATGATAATAGTCAGTTAGTCAGCTACAACGTAGGACCACGCACATATGTGCATCGGTCCAAGTTGCCATACCTCATTAGCGTAACAAGATGAACACCGGGTTCATAGAAGTAGTGGTGGTAAGAAAGATAGCATATAAGGACATAGTACAGCATGAAAGAATTAGTTCGTAGAAAGATAGATATGAAGCGATTTTAATCTCATAGTTTAAAGGAAAACAGAAAGTGTATACACCTACGCCATTGTAATCGATTCTGAGCCATGTCATCAAGAGTCTTCAATCATTGGTTACGACAGTCACGCGGACCCCAACCGTGTAATAATAATAATAATAATAATAATAATAATAATAATAGTAATTGTAATAATAATAGCTCTACTCGAAGTAATTAATTCGTTTATCCAATCGAATTAATAATTACGTGTTTTATTTAAGATAATTCTACTTCATGTATATAAAAAGGAGAGTGGGGGGAGAAGTGGTGGAAAGTATTTTTTATTTTGTGTTTTTTCTAAGTGTACATGTCTAAGACAAGTAATTCCTTTTAATATTCAACAATAAAATTATAAAACTAGAAGATAGTGAAAAACATGAAACAATTGTAACTCTTCTGTGTTCCCTTTTTGTAGTTATGTATGTTTGTATAAGTGTAGGTGTGTATATATATATATGGTTAATGTTATAAAGAATAAAACCTTATTTAATTATTGTATAAATGAAAATAAACTATTATGCCTATTTAAGTAAAGTAATATGATATGATGTCAATAGAATTGTAGGTATTTAGTAGTGAATTATGAAGACATAGCACCATAGAAACAAAACCATATGCTGTCTAGATACGGTCGAAGATGAAACAGATGCATTATACACGACCCTGAAGGAAAATGGATATCCTGAGAAATTTATAAATAAAAACATAATCAATAAAAGCGAGCATAAAAAATGCTTAATGGTGAATAAAAAGCATCTATATATCCGCTTACAATTCAGAGGCGATGTATATAGTGAAATACTAAGACTGAAGTTAAGCAGATTAATTCAAAGACTTTTTAATGCAGGTAATTTACAATGAATGTTTTCCATACATCCAATCATCGTTCCGAGGTTGAAAGATAAATTGCCTAGAATATCCACTTCTTTCTGTATCTATCAATTCAACTGCTCCTGTGCAGCAAGTTATATTGGCAGATGTTCTAGGAATTTGTATATTCGGGCTTGTGAGCACCTCCCAGTGTGGTCAAGCAAAGGTGTAGTTAGAGTGGTTAATAGCTCCATTTTAGCCCATTTAATTCAAATGAGACATGCAACCAACATGGAGCAATCTTTCGTAATAATATATCGTGTTAACAACAGTCTAATTAATTCCATCAGACTGAGAATCCTGCAGATGGCTGAAGCGATTGTTAAATTACCTAAAACTTTAATCTTAATTAGATTAGTTTTGCATTATTGAAAGATGAGTGAATTTTATCAAAGGTTACATGAGTTTTAAAAAAGTAATAAACAAGACCGAAGGTTTTAAGTTTCAGTCTCACGTACGCGGTTGTGGACACGCATTGTTGAGGAGTCTCATACTAGGATGAAACAGTCATACAGTGTTTTCAGGTTTTCAGTAGTTCTCAGTAGCTTAGATCGACTCATGAATTCAATAATAAAAATGAGTGACTAACATTTGTTAATATTATTATAAAGATTTTTTTGCAAGTAAATTATATAATGAGGTTATTATATTTTAGTGGGGCTCTTCATTTTGACGTCAATTAGATCGGACGATGTTATCGCCGGACTCACTACTTTAGTGACCCGATGTCTGACTCCAGTTGGATTGTGTGATTGATTGTTATTGAAATAAATACGTCTGTCATCCTCGTATGTAATAATCGACTTAATCCGCGTTGGTCAATAACGGGATTAAATAAGTCATATACGAGAATGGATTTTTAAATCAGTATATTTTGTACACTTATTGACTTAAACAGAAAATCAGAGGAATGAAGCGAAGTGAAATAACGCTCAGTGGAAAAGGAGTGTGAGCCAACTTTATTTAATCAAGTGTTAATCGACAATTATAGTCACACAAAAATAAGTTACAGATATGTGATGAATGAGATAAGAAAGGCGCACTCATATGCGTTCATATAAAATCAGTGAAGATTGATAAGCAACTGATACTACATTTATGATGTCAACCAAATTGGCATGCTTGTGATGGAGTTCTGTTCTATGAATTGAGTGGTTTGGTCGTAGAGCTTTCATTTTTATTCAGAACAAAATCATCAGTACAAACTTCTACCAGTTCAGAGAACAAAACTCAATCAAAATCATCCACCTGAGCTAAAAATCCTCTCCACCATAACATGCTTGTTTCACGTCCAATAAAATAAAGTTTTATTTCTATATACTGACTGATGTCTACTACTTGATAGTGAATTATATATACTACTAAGTATTCTCTGACTTGATGTGACCTGACTAAATGAAATCTTTCTATAAAATAATCACAGACATGAATGATTCGATGTAGTTGAGAAAATGTAGATAATTGTAAATGTATTCAACATAGTAAAAATAAGATATTCACTTACCGAATTAACTTTAAGTGATTAAATTTATATAAATTTAATATGATGCTATATCGCATTACCATATTATTTTGTTACTGTATAAAAATATACTACTTAGATAATCAGTAGGTTACTGATTAAAGTATTCAGATTTGAAGTTTCAGTTATACAACATTAAAATCAATTTAGGCATCCGAATAGTATTACTATTATGCAAACATATGATTCAGCTTTAAGTTAAATAGAATAGTTTAGTACTTGATAAAAATGAATTACATAATCTTTAATCTATTCTAACCAATCGTATCTTCCTAAGAAGATACTGATTTAGATCAATGATCATAGAAGTTAAAAAGGAGTTATAGAGTTTATTTACCATTTCATTATATTATTATTACTAGTAGAAATGAAAAAAAAAAGTTATTTATATTAGTAATATAAGATTGTATGGAGACTAATAGATGTTAAGATTATTCTTATCGTGTTAACCTTATACTACAGTTCATTTTAACACTAGATCTGCAAGATCTTAACATGGATAGAATTCATAAATAGATTTCAAATACATAATCCAATGAAATATGTTTGAAATGAACTATCGTATTAACTTTGAATGATCTTGAAACGTTCAAGAACTTTATATCTTTCTTTCTGAAAGAAAGATTAGAAATGAATAACAAAATTCTACATTAACCATTAATCTCATCTTTTCTAGAGAAAAAAAATCTTTAAAAAAAAAAAAAAATTATCCTCCCCCCTCACCTACTATTTAATCACATGGATACGCGTGATAAGTTAATAAATCTTTTATCAACATTGTTCATTGAAAGGTCATATGGAAAACGTCATTCTTTTAAAAAAAATCACAAAAAAACAGCATTATTCTTCTTACGAATAAAATCAAAAAATGAGAATATAAGATATAAGTAAAGGGGAGAATGCAGTAATAATAATAATAATAATAATAATAATAATAATAATAATAATAATAATAATAATAATAATAATAGGATAATCAAAATAATTAAGGCCAAGGTAACGATAACGATAAGACGTACATCTTTTGTACGCATAGTTCTGGTTTAAGCTCCTGAATGCTAAGAGTTTCGGCTATTTTTAAGAGTTGAATACGAAAATAGCCGGGAGCCAGGAGCTTAAACCAGAACTATGCGTACAAAAGATGTACGTCTTATGATTATCGTTACCTTGGCCTTAATTATTTTGATTTTACTGTTATTATTATTATTATTATCACAGGATTCCCCTCCTTACTCATGTCTTATATTGTCATTATTTTATTATTGTTTTTGTTATTTGATATTTTATTGGAAATTCTCTTTGTAAATGAGACTATTCAGTACACAATTAAGAAAGTATTTATAAATAAATACTCAATTATTTGATCCAGTAATAAAAATGAATAACATTTTTAATCTATATTATACTTGTTGATAATATGAGTATCGTTTAGTCATCAGTAATTGATCACGGTCTTAGTAACTAAGTTTGACTATGATGTAAACCATTTTTTTTTCTATTCGACGTCAAAATCAATTATTCTGATTTATATAGTTGACACTGAAAAGCAGAATATGCATTCCATCTTAATTGGGATGTAATTATATTGTAGAGTTGGTGTGTTACTCTGGCATTCGAACTCAATAACGTTTGCTATAAACTTCCAATATGTTATTCTAGAGTGAGAGTCAAATTTCGGACACAACTAAATCTAGATGATAAGATCTAAACAATCAGTTTGAATTCTATTCTAAACTATATTCTATCTATTTTATATAAATTTGTAATTTAATATTCATATCTATGGAATCTACACAGGATATATAAATACCAACTATGAGTAATCAAAATTCAGTCCCGAATGTCAACAACAGGATAATCCGGAACATTTTCAGGCATCAGTGTTAAAAATTTTCATAAATTTGTTTATGTGGTTTTGAAATGAGAATTTATATCGCTTAAAGGAAATATTCATTATGATTTGAGGTTAGCTAAGGTACTGTTTAGAAATTGGGAGGACTGAACGTCGGAACCCCTCGATAATGAGTAAAAGACGAAGCTCAACAATTAAAAAATCTGTTATAGAACACAATCCAACTGAATGATTGGATATGAACAGTGAGTACAACTACATTGGAAGCCTTGATCAAATAACACGGGACACAAACTTATTTTGATTTCAATATTGTAAAGTGAGAGATTTGAAAATAATATAGTGTCCGTGTACATATACTACTATCTTCTCAAGTCTAAGGTTGTGTAGCTAAAAAGAGTAGATACCACAAATAAGATTTTCATTAGAAAACAACCTAAAATCTTGACATTATGATGTTTACACTGAGAGCGATTGTGCTTAACATGCTCAATTAATGATTTAAAATTAGTCTATTTTATAATTTTCCCTGAACACACTCCTTGATTATTACATGACTAGCTTGTTTATGAGACATTGTTCTCATATTTTCAATGATAATAGAAATCATATTCATCAAAATTAAAAAAATTAACCAGAAATTACACTGACCACCATGAAAATAATAAACAAACAATATTAAACTTAGTTTTCGTATTGTTTATATTACCACTTTATAGTAGTAGTGGTGGTACACACTCAAAACTTGATCAGAGGTAGAATCCATCAACATTTTAGTCTTACTGATAGACTATTATCTTTCAAAGTTGAAATCCATCAATCTACAATCTTAACTTCATTCAATTGACAACAGATTGGGATAATTATCTAATTGTTTCAGTAATAACTGTCTCACTTTCTACACATCTAATGAACTCAACTGATCACAAATCATCAGTATAAACATATAGACATTGTTAAGTTCTGATTCAAATTATGAACTGATCCCTCATGTCGGATCATGGATGTACACATTATTAAGGAATCTCATACTAGAACGAAACGGCTATCTAATACTTTCAAATTTTCAATAATCACTCAACATTGATCCATTCAGAATCTCAATCAAAATGGTCACAAATCCTTAGTTTTTTTTAAAAAAAAACTTCTTATGCTAAACATTTAATTTTATCTCTACTCCTCTTCAATAACCCAACTCTTTTCTTCTTTATCTACTTCTCTTCTCTAGTTTTCTTTTTCTTTTTTTAAATTTTGTTTAGATTAAATCAAAGAACTGAACAATTACAAAAACAAATGAATCGTATTACAAAATTATTAGCTAATTCTACAAATAAATTAACTGAATCAAAAGAATTAATTAAAACATCAAAAGATACATTACAGAAAAATGTAAAAAAGTAAGCTGTTTTTATTCTCTCTTCTTTATTCAATTGATCAAATATTTATAAAAATAGAAAGAAAAGTTAAAAAAAAAAAGAAAACACTACGTACAATGATTGAGATCATAAGTCAGTTGGAGCTAGAACATCATGGGGAACCTGGAAGCAATGGACGGCCGTTTCGTTGTATTATGGGACTTCTCAGCAGTGGGCATCTACGATCTCGCCCTCCGCGAGATTCGAAACTAGGACCTATCAGTCTCGCGCGCAAACATTTAACCACTAATTCGTTAACTAAAAGATCCAATACTCTTACCAGTTGTTCTGTAATCATCCTGTTTCAATTTATGTAATGTTAAATACTAAATTTATTCTATTCACATTAATTCCTGGTTTATTTCAAGTGGTTAGGCATTCGCGCGCTAGAATGATATGTCCTGGGTTCGAATCTCGCGGGGGTCGAGATCGTGGCTGCGCACTGCTGAGGAATCCCACAATAGAACGGAACGAGAGTCGAGTGCTTCCATGTTTTCCATGGTGGTCTAGCTTCAACTGACTTATGATCTCAACTACTGAAATTACTATAATATCCACAAAACCCCTTCTGATATTAAAACAAAACTTTCTCAGTTGTATCAAACAAATATTACTATACTTAGGTCGTCAATCAATCTATAAAATTGCATGACTGTCTTTCATTATACTGAAGTAGATACTTGTCTATACCTGACATGGATTAGCTCTATTTGGTCACGAACTTTCAATAGAACTCAAACAATTCCTTCAAGAAGTTTTAGTGAATCACTAAACTTAAGTCCTGTATATTAATTTTCAGGACAAACTATATATATATATATATATATATATATATATATATATATATATATATATATATATATATATGTTCCATTGGGTCTCAGAATTGTAGTACAAAATTTGTACAACAAAAGCTTCAGTACACAGTTTACAATTTTTCAATGGAATTCAGATAGAGTAAAGGTTTATAGGAGGGATGGAATTTACCTAGTTAAAAAAAGATGATTTGTGGACGACTGACCGCTCCATAATGCTTATTGGATTGGTCAGTAGTTGTCTATTAAACCATGCTGCATTGTATCTCTTGGATTGTTTAAAATCTATTGTATGTTGTGGATAATTAAAGAATTTCAGTAGGGTAATTATATTCATTACACAACATATTTTTATTCTGCTGTTTGACAACATTCTCTACTTCTTATAGCTTAGAAACATATTTTTTTATTGTTAACAAAATATGGTTATTCACTATGAGATATAGCATGAAGTAATTACGTAAAATATAAGATACATTTTATGTTCTTCAAAACCACCATCCAGAATTTTTGACAAAAATCCAGACAGTATTCGTATTCTTTTAGATGGATTGTTTAATCGTACAGCACAATATACTAAGCGTTAAATCCTTTCCATCATCCAGATAGTAATCAACATCAAACAGTCGAATCCCAAGGTTATCGATATGCCATCATACTATTTTATTCATAAAAATACAAACTCAATACGAAATACTGATTTTATTAATAACTTTCATAGATCTATCACAATACCGCAGATTTTGGTGGAGTTTTGTTCTCTGAGCTAAATGGATTGGTCGTGGAGCTTTTATCATTCTTCTAAACTACATCATCAGCACAAACTTCAGATGGAAGTGAAGTGTTCGAATTTCTCCATATGCATTTCACAGCTTGTTCTGTACACCTCGACGTTGATTAGTTCTTATTGACCTTAAATTTGTCATTGTTTACTTCTTTGTTTTGGTTGTGTCTCCCATTGGTTTGATTTTTCTTCCTATATTTGTGCATGATTTTCTTGATTGTTTGGTACATTGGATCGATCTCTGTGTGCTTGTTGATTGCTGATTAACCTGAGTGCCAGGCTTCTAAAAATTCTCTGGTGTTTTTGGAGTTTCCTCTTTCTAAGATCTCCACATTTTTCCAATCGAATGAGTGGCTGCAGTTACGCGTGTATTGATATATGTGAGGAGATATCATGGCGTCTGACTGCTAATTGATGTCCGTGTAGGTGAAGGTGAAGGGGGAGTCCGCTTTGTCCGATGTAGTGTTGTTCGCAATTGGCACAGTTTTTTTTTGTAGATGATGTTTGATTTGTTTTCCTTTGTTCTTTCATCCTTTGGTTTGCATAGGATTGATTGTAGTGATTTTGTTGGTTCGTGTGCCACACCTATCCCGAAGGTTTTTAGCAGTCTCGTTACGGTTTCTGATATTCCTTGTATGTACGGTAGGGTGATCCTTTTGTTGATTTTTGTGCTTGACTTGGGTTCTGATGCTGTGTGCCGTTGGTGCTTTTTGATGAAGTTGATTGGATAGCCGTTCTTTTGAAATACGTCCTTCACGTATTTCTCTTTATTTTTTCGTGCTGCCAGTGTGCTGCAGTGTGTCCTCGCCCTCTTGAACAAAGTATGTACGCAGTTGATTTTGTGAGCTCTTGGTTTGTTGCTCCACGACCAAATCATCCAGCTCAGAAAACAAAACTCCACCAAAATCATCCACCTGAGCTACAGATCTTCCCCACCATCTCACAATACCGCAGTATTAATGTACTAATGATCATTAAAAGATAAAGTCTATTCAAACCATTAAAATAACAATCGTTTCTCTTCTTCCTCTCTCACTTCACTCTCCTTTCATTTATCCAACATATATGTATAGATCTGATGAAATTGAACAAAACAGTATTTTATTAAGCAGTCGTATTGAAGCATTGAAAGATCTAATGCAAAAATTACGTGATCAAATTTATTTAACTAATACTAATATTGATCGTCTACCAGATATTATGGCACAATTACGTCAATTAGATAGTGTGACGGTTACATGGAATGAAGCAAAAGAAACGGTAAATTAAAACGTTTTTTTTTACTGTGATTATTTCTAATAAATGAAGAAAAAAAACATACATTGTTAGTTATTTACCCATTTTGTGGTATCTTTATTGTTTCTTATCTCTATCAAAGAATTACTATCTATACACTTCTATCATAGAGACTTAGAATGATAAGTTGAATTCGTAGTAATGAGGTGATTGAGAATAGTTATATCATAAGTCTTCTTGAAAGTTAAAAGTGTCGACTTACCTAACATATAGAAAGTGAAATATAATTATTTTCTAGGTTTAATATGTATTATACATTAAATATATACTACAATGAAGATGGTTAACGTTTTGTTTAGTGAGTTAATTTTCTACGGGATAGGGTCGCTAACCCTATGCCTAACCGTCCTACTTTATCCAGGCTTGGGACCGGCAGTAGCCCCCGGAGGGACTACAGGAGGAGTTGGTTTATAATCAATGACATTGAATTAATGCAATTTGTGATTTCTTTAAAATATTGGCCTTATAAAAAGTGTAGTGGCTGGTACTATGTCAAACCCATATAAGTTATTCTAGATGCTAGACAGACCAATTTACTCATTCGAATCAATTCACATTTTGACCTTGTCACTTAATCGCTTATTAGCTCTGACTGTTTTTATGTGATCGTATGTGTATTATTTGCTTACCCTATTCATCACGTGCCTGTAATTTATTTTTGTCTGAGTATAAATGTTGAATGACGCTTAATGAAAATGAGTTGGCCTACTCACCTTCTCCTCTTCACCTCAATTTGTTTCGTTTCGCTTAGTTTCGTTGCACTTCGTTTCTCTGATTGTCTGTCTGGATCACTGAGTATATGAAATATACATAATCAAAATTCATTTTCGTATCTGGCTTATCTTACTCCGTTTATCATTAATGCGGATTAAGTCGATAAAAATATACAAGTGTTGGTGACATATATATTTCGATGACAACCAACATAGGATTTACCTACAGTCGAGATGGTGGAGCTTTGAAATACATATGGAGAAATTCAAACACTTCACTTCTATTTAAAGTTTGTACTGATGATGTCGTTCAGAAGAACGATGAAAGCTCCGCGACCAAACCATCCAGCTCAGAGAAAAAAACTCCACCAAAATTACTTACATTCAGATATATGGCTACTAAAGTGGTAAATCCATCGATAACCTCATTGATAACATTATCAAGTCGGAATGAAATCACGACGCCACTAAAAAAATTTTAAGTTGAACAAAATTAGAATATGATTAATGTTTTAATATTAAGATTAATTTGTCAAAGAACAACACCTATTAGTAATCAGATATCTTATAACTGTGAATCTAACTAGCAATCCGCATTTTCTTTTCAACATTAATCATTATGTGAATAGATTTATAAACAATGAATTAATGCAAATTCCCTTGGTGTTGTTTTACTTGTATTGTCCCATTGTTATTTAGGACTGTAATTGATCAGTCTCATGTTGGCATATGTGAATCCTGTGCCGATTGCCTCGATATAGCCTTAAGTTACATGCTTTTTAAGCAGAGATAGTATTTGAAGCGAATGGTACTGGGTTCGAGTCTCAGAGTGAACGTCAACTCTGCGATCTAGGTTCATCCAACTGACGAGTCCCAAATAGGATGAAACGCGCGTCCTGAATTCCACTGTTAGCCGTTATCCATCTTTGAGCAAATTAATTGGATTTTGTTATAGTACAAGTTTTCTTCTATCAGATTAAAGAAATAAGAAATACATTTGACTAATAATTCTTGTTGTATTAAAATTATGAATAACGAACACAATTAGCAAAAACGAATAAATCTAATAGAGATAATAAAACTACTCACTGTAAATCTAGACAGGATTTTTTCTGTCTGAGTAACAAAAAAAATGTCGATCATTTCGTCAATAGACAATTGTGTACTCAGACAGACAGACAACCCACGCATTCAGACATATCAGTCACATGCGTATTATATATATATATATATATATATATATATATATATATATATATATATATATATATATATATATATATATATATAAATTTGTTGCTAAGGCGTAGATATAGACTAGAAAATATAGGCAATAATAAATAATAATGTTTAAATAAACTCGAATTCGGACATATTTTCCTAATAATATTGAATGTATTGAAGTCGTTTTTTTTCCTGGTTTTTTTTCATGTGTGGAAATTACAATTTTCGTATTTCATTTTCATTTCAAGCTAATTATATCGAATAACTAACTAACTTGTAGCTAATTTTAAATGTTGCTTTATTCAAGTGTAGGATTTATAACAATTAATTAAGATTCTATGTGAATATTAGTTTTAAGGTAGATATATTTGACAGGTTACAAACCTTACAAAATCTACTGAAGGAAGAAGAAACAACTATGGAGGACAACTGGAAAGGCATCAAAGAAGCATCAACTTATACGTGTCAAAAGGTTCTGGGCCTCAAGAAGCATCATCATAAAGAATGGATTTCTATAGAAACACTGGACAGTACACAGGCGCAAGTAAGTAAGTGAAGTGGACCATTAAAGCCGACAAGCAGAAATATGTGGAAGAACTAGCAATGACGGCGGAAACAGCTGCAAGAGAAGGAAATATGAAACAGCTTTATGATACAACGAAAAAACTAGCAGAGAGATATGGTAAACCAGGTAGATCGGTCAAGGACGAAGAAGCCAGGAGAATCTCTGAAATTCGAAAACAGATTAACAAATGTATAGAGTACTTTGAAGAACTCTTGAATAGACCAACTTGATTGAATTTACTAGACATCGAAGCAGCACACACAGATCTTCCTATAAAAGAAATCATAATTGCCATCAGACAAATCAAGAGAGAGAAAGAAGCAGGACCTGACAAGATACCAGCTGAAGCACTGAACTCTGACATCGAACTAACTACAAGCATGCTTCACCTTCTATTCAAAACGATTTGGGAGGAAGAACAAGTGCCGATGGACTGAAAAGAAAGACACCTCATCAAGATTCCAAAGAACGGAGATCTGGGCAAATGTGAAGACTACAGAGGCATTACACTACTGTCAAATGCAGGGAAAGTCTTTAGAGGAGTGTTGCTGAACCAGATGAAAGATGCAGTAGACGCCCAACTTCGAGATCAACAAGCCAGATTCCGGAAGGATCGGTCGTGCATAGACCGAATTGCGACACTACGGATCATCGTCGAACAATCAATTGAGTGGAACTCGTCACTGTACATCAACTTCAATGATTATGAAAAGGCATTTGACAGTGCAGATAGGAGAACGTTACGGAAACTTCTTCGACACTACGGAGTTCCTGAGAAGATTGTCAACATTATTTAGAACTCGTACGACGGACTACAGTGCAAGGTAGTGCATGGAGAACAACTGACAGATGCATTCTAAATAAGGACCGGAGTAAGACAAGGCTGTCTACTCTCTCCTTTCCTCTTTTTTCTGGTGATCGACTGGAATATCAGGACCTCGACATCTGAGGGAAGACACGATATACAATGGACAGCTCAGAATCAATGAAAAGATTTGGACTTCGCTGATCACCTAGCCCTCCTATCGCATACACACAAAGAAATGCAGATAAAGACAGTCAGTGTAGCAACAGTCTTTGCTTCAGTTAATCTCAACATACACAAGGGGAAAACCAAAGTCCTCAATTACAACACGGAGAACAGCAATCCAATCACACTTGTTGGCGAAACTCTTGAAGATATAGAATCCTTCAATTACATGAGAATAATCATCGGTGAACAAGGAGGGTCAGATACAGACGTAAAGGTGAGAATCGGCAAAGCAAGGGCCACATTCCTACAATTGAAGAACATATGGAACTCAAAACTACTTTCAACCAATATCAAAGTGAGAATCTTCAATACGAATGTCAAGGCAGTTCTACTGTATGGAGCTGAAAGTTGGAGAACTACTACAACCATCATCAAGAAGATGCAAGTATTTGTAAATGGTTGTCTACGCAAAATACTCAACATCCATTCGGCGGATACCATTAGTCACAGTCTTTTATGGAAGAGAACAAACTAACATTCAACTGAAGAGGAAATTAGAAAAACACGATGGAGGTGGGTAGAACATATATTATTGGAAATCATCAAACTGCATCACGAAGCAAGCGCTAACTTATAATCCTGAAAGGAAACAAAAAATGATAAAGACCAAGAAACACATTGCATTGGAAATCAGAATCAAATATCAAAAAGATGAATAGCAACTGGAAACAATTGGAAAAGATTGTCAAGGAGAGAGTTAAGTGGAGAATGCTGATGGGGATGGTCTATACTCGTCCACAAGAGGTAACAGGTATGATTAATTAAGTAATTAAGTAAACGATATAATATCAACACATTAGTCTTTGAATTCAGTATCTTCTATTACTAAATTGTATTTTTTTTTTCTTTTCTATCTTCAATTTCTCATTATTCCTTTATTTATACTAATCATATTTTATTATTATTAATAAATAGTCAAAACAATTACAAAATCGTTTATTTAATATTGAAAATGAATTAAATAATCAATTAATTCAATTACAACAAATCAATAATCAATTAATCAATACATTAAATAAACAAGAAAATGAAGCAAAATTAATTGAATTAAAATTTAATGAAATCAATCATTTATTAGAACGTGTTATGAATGCAATCAATATGAGTTGGACAATGATTGACAATTCTAGAATATGGTTACAAAAACTTGAAGGTATATTATTATTATTATTATTATTATTATTATTATTATTATTATTGTAAGATAATACTGTTTAAAGTATAATGTCTTCTTGTAAATGGAAAGGTTATATCCTTTTAGTAAATATTTAGCTTGATTAACAAAAGGATACGAATTGTATATCATTAATTTAATCATTTGAATTCATGAGTCAATTGAAACTAGACCATCATGGAAAATCTGGAAGTACTGGACAGCCAACCGTTTCGTTTTAGTATGGGACTCTTTAACAGTACACATTGACGATCCCATTTCGCGAGATTCAGAAGAAGGACCGATCAATGTCGCAGATGAAGGCTTAACATTTAGATCATTGAGCCAGTATCAAATGATATTAATGTTTAATTTCAACAAATCATTAAGAAAAAAGAGAATTAAAGACAATTCTATAATGTTGTTTACTTCAGGTAGATTATCATTGCATTTACACTGATATAGCAAATATGACAATCAATTAAACAAAAATAATTACATGTTTTGATAGCTTTATGTTCTCTATACGAGACAGTGTAATTACAAACTTTTTATTGTCATTCTAGATAATATATTCAGTGTTTAAATCGATATTCTAGGAGCTTCTAATGTTAAAAGGTTGGTTGAGTCACAAACAAGGATGAGACTATAATATACGGACGAACTAATCAGGTATAAGATAATAGATCATGGATTTTGGCGAAAACTTCACTCATCCATTTGGTTAAATAGAGTTTTAGCATTATAGCTGATGTCAGTTCGTGATGAAAACCCTAAATTGAATTCCTAATCCTTAATCATCAACTGAAAATCATTTGATTATAATTATAATTCCACCCAATCAGAAATTTAAAAGTGACATGAAGATGAAATCAGATTTGTAAATGTTAATTAAATACGGTCATACACTTTGAATAAATAGAAATAATATATTAATAATTAGGGGGTTGATTATTATCATCCTGAAGACGTTCAGGCGGATTGATTTAAATTTCAACCTATGAAATTATTTCAACTCTATTTTTTTTACATAATAATGTCTTCTACATACTCGTCGCTTAGTTTCTATAATACTAGTTGCTAATGGCAACAATCCTACAACCAATTTCGATTATGGTTAATTTTGGTTAAGTCCCTTTACTCACTTATTTAACAGACAATGTTACTTGAACAGTAACAATTCGTTCATTTCTTTGTGCCGTCATGATCACTAGATCACATGATAGACTCTAGCTCAAATGTTGATCGCTTAATTATCACTCGATGATTCATTCTCTCCCTATGTATATATGTACTCAAATCCTATTGTGAATCTTTGTTTTGCCTTGCTGTGCCCTTATGCAATTTGACTATAAATTTGCCTATATATTTGCTCGCACAAACATATATTCGCCTCTCCATTCCGAATTCCCTTGACGTGCTTATAGCTTTGTGACCTGTGCTATCCACTAATAAACTGTAGTTGCCGCTTCTCATTGCCTTCTGATTTCAAAAACTATTGAAATTTATATTATAACGGTTATCAAGATGGTTGATTAACGAAGCAAAGACACTACATATTCAAAAGTTGACAAATATTGTTATATACCGTACAACATTAGTTTTAAGTTTCAATATCCATTCATGTTTCTTTCATTATTAAATAAAATAAAGCATGACGATACCAGATATATATGTATATATACTTTTCGTAGTTTATATCACAAATTGGACAGAATTAAACACTCATTAAGAACCAGAAAGCGCAATACAAATGTTTAGTAAAGCACTTTCTGGTAGTGGTAATCCACTATCCGACCGGGGGTTGAGTCCAGGACCTTCACATCTTACGGCTAGTATTTAGCATTCAGACCACTAAGTTGGGATCTAATGGTTTACATTTTTAATATCAAGTAATTTCTGATATTCCTGAATCATCTCACAAAACTGTTGATAGGTAACAATCTCACACTTAATATAGTCGAACCTCAAATTTCAAAACTTCTCACTAGAACATCGAGAATTACTTCTCAAAACCATTATACTATGTATAAATACTATCCAATATCTTTGATGGGCATTCGATCAATCGGTTCTTGATAATCTTTGCAAATCTTCGTGAAATACGATAATAATTTTTATAAGTTCATCAAAAAGTTAACATGAAATCATCATTTATTCAAGTGATTTTGTGGAAATTTTTAAAGCCTGAAGTCAAATCCTGAAGTAAAGTTGTGAATATGGTTTAATAGTTACCTTGGAATAATAATTATGAAGTTGTTTTTTATTTCTTATAATTGAAAAGCTTAGCAATGGATGATTAGTTCGTACATAGAAACATGTCCACCTTTTAGATAATATTTAAGTTTTCAACAGTAACAATAAAACTATAAAAACTGCTGATCCACTGTAATTTTCTCTTGTAATCTAATTTGTATACTTATGTTTAGACTATAAAGAAACTAATTTGCATGACAATTGAGTAATGATCTGTCTAGGTCCTAGAGCCAACTAAAGTGTTTAGAATAAGTTAGAAGGTGACTATTAATTTAATTGACATGATGTTACCACTTAATCAATAGAATTAAACCACCACTAAAGAACTATACAAATATGATATTGACCACTACATCGTTATCATTTCATGTAAATATGACAAATCTACAAAATGGAGTAATTCACTAAATGGCTAAATATCAATGATGCCATCTCACACTGAGAAACTACGTAACATGATTTAGAATCCTTTAAGAAATAACAATTCCTTCAAAGTTTTTGGGCATAATTTGCTGATGTTTATTAATAAGTATGAAACTTAACTCCTGAATTTCCTGTTGTCTCCCTCCAATCACTTAACATAAAAAAAAGTATTTATTATTTATTAACCTTAATAGTAACCATTATTGCTCGGAAAGATATGACTTTCATTACAATCAGCTATCTGTATATCATAATTATTATTTGTTAAAGTTATACGCATAATCAATAATTTAATATTTATATACTTTGAATGTAACGTTGAAAAAAAATATATTGCTCAGTCTAGCACATACACACATATACTTGCGTGTGGGCGCGCAAACAACCACAAATTTTCTACGAAACAGAAAGAAGTAAAAAAAATTGGGGGGGGAAGGTAAAGTGTGTGTGTGTGTGTGAGGGTAAATTGAAAATAATAATCTTTTTTTTCAATTGTCTCTATATTCTATCAATAATTATACGTTTGTTACTTAGAGAACATGACTGAATATGTTTGTAACAAGCGCTAATAATAATAATAATAATAATAATAATAATAATAATAATAATAGCAAGATATTATATTGAAATTCCCTTTTTATGATTAAAATGAAAACTAAACAAGCAATGGGTTTTAAATTAAACAGAGCGGTAGACACAAATTTGACAAGTGTAAATGAACGTGTGTCTTTTTGTTGTTGTTGCTTTAAATGAACTAGATATTATTTGATTTCATTTTTTTTTAAATCTTTTATGATATTTGATTAGGGTTACCGCTTGCGCTTGATATTTTACACATAGTTTCAAATAGAGTTTTGATGAAGATTATGAATTGATTAATATATTAGATAATCATTGAAAGTTTCGAAGTATTGAATAGATGTTTTGTCATAGTATGAAACTCTTCAACAGTGTTCATTCATAATCATCTAAGTGAGATTTGAACTTGGGATTGTTGATCTCACAAGTGAACATCTTTATGATCTTAATCAAAAATTTAACAATATTCACAACCTTATAATGATAATTTCAAATAAATTAAATGTTATTAGAACTGTTCATTATCATAAAATAAATGGCTTTTTTCATAGATTTGGTCTTAGTTAAGTCAACATTAGAAACCAAGAAGTGAATGGATTAGCGTTTTGTGATTTGAAATGTATGAAAATTTTACCTTGTACGGATAATTATCATATGCTTACTAGTGTTTAGCTTCAATAAGAAAATCCTGGAGTTCTGATGAGACAGTTATTCAGACCAGATGATGTATGTGGATTGAGCAGTATGATGAATTAACTGAACTTATATATTAATATCACTAGTTCTCACTAGTTCGCACACGAAGTCGAAGGTTCTGGGTTCGATTCCCTATTATAGGATCGTGAATGTGTACTTGTGAACAATTCCATATTAGAATGGAACGGCTGTCCAGTACTATCAGATTCATATTGGTGAACTAAATAAGTTCAGTTAGTGGCTTAAAGAACATGAAAATTCTTTATTCTTCATAAAAGCTTATAGTAATAACAATCTATTTGTTACTCCTCGTGAAGGAGCATAGGCCGCCCACTAGCACTCTCCATCCAACCCTGTCGTGGACAATACTTTCCAGCTCTTTCCAGTTGTGATTCATCTTTTTCATATCTGCTTTTATTTCCCGATGTAATGTCTTCTTTGACCTTCCTCTTTTCGGCTTCCCTTCAAGATTCCAAGTTAGGGCTTACCTTGTGATGCAGTTCGGTGATTTCCGTAACGCTAACCAGAAAAAATAATTCAAATCATAAATCTATTTGTTATTAAACTCGTAAACTTTTAAAGTTAAGTGTAGGTCATTTCTTCAGAAAATGAATAAACAACGGAATTCAATTAACATAAATCTTAACAGACAGTCGAAACGTTTGTTTATTTCATTTGATTACTTGCCTAATTTTTTCTAATGAAACAACATACACTAAATCTTGAAATATCAGAATTTCATTATTTAATTCATTAGGATGTTGGAAAACATTATAATTTAATTATAGTAATTCATTTTCTATATTCTTATTTTGTATTTAAAAGTAATCTTAGTAATGTATGTAGTCAACGTATTTTCAATAGAATAGTCATTTTTCTTTTGGTAGCATTGAGCAACAATCCCAGTATGTTTGAGATGCGTGGTCTAGAGGTTAAGCGCGAGTATGAGAAACTGATTGATCTTCGGTTCGAATCTCGCGAGGTGGGTTCGTGGATGTGCACTGGTGAGGAGTCCCACAATAAGAAAAAATGGCCGTCCAATGATT